CTGGCTCTGGGACAGGCCCAACTTCAGTGAATTCTCAACCACTTATTCAGAGCCAGATTAATAAGCTGCTTTGTGACCTCCACTGTCCTTTCCCACTGCCCTCTGGTCATTTCACTGTTCCTCTGAATCCAATTAAGAGGGTAGACAGAGGGAATGAGAAGACATGACCTCAATGCGAGAAGATTCTGCTTCTCATTAAAGGCCCCGTTAAAAGATTTGGTGGAAAACAAGTTGTTACACCACTGCTCCTCAACCACAAGGTTCAAGCACTTTCATTTGCTCACAATTTTTACTCCATCATCCATTAACCCTGACAATTGAAATACATTTTATCCATTTTAGCCAGAATACCAGTAAAAAATATGTTTCCCTGGCATGGCTTATGGATTTCCAAATATATATATATTACTAGGGAGGGCCTTGGGAAAAAACTATTAATAAGATGTAATTTATTTACTACTCTTCCATTTTAGAACCCTTTCTTCTATTTTGCCTACATCCCTTCCACTCACCCACCCATATTTCATGCATCTGTCCCCATGGCAATGTGGTCAAGATGGATGTGTTTTCAGAAGGGTTTCTGGAATATGGAAATCAGGAGGACTTACAAAAGAATCATCTAATTGTAGAAAGACAGGACACTTCCATTACATCAGCCAACAACATTTAATTAAGAATAAATGTAGAAATCCCTTGATGCTTATTCCTATCAGTTTTCTTCATTAGGAGGCAAGGCTTAAAGGTCAAATATACTATTCTATGAAAGAGTTCATATCATTCATTCAAGAAAGATTTACTGAATTTTCCCAAAGTAGTTGGATCTATCTAGGTTTCACAGTAATTTAAAAAATTTAAAAGTATCATAAAAATATATAAAGTGCTGTGAGGGTTTAAATGGGGAGAATACTTCTAACTGAAGCAGGGAGTTTCAGGTATTGTTTAATTGGTTAAGTCCTCAGTAATATCCCCACCAATCACATGTGGCCAAGAGCTCTGAAGTGGAGAGTTATATTTTATTTGAATTTGCAGACTAAATGTATGTACAATCTCAGCTTTGAAGTGTAGCAAAGAGGCTCACTGAGTCATAGTCAAATTTCCCTCACAGAATCCATAATTACAACTATTATCTATGACATTCTTTGCTAGGCTGTGCAGCATATTTAGCTTGTCAGGTATGCTCGGCAAGTTGTAAGGCTACCTGTGTTGCCAGAGTTAGGCTTCATCTTCTCATGCATTGCTAAGTCTTCCACTTTCTACTCCCTGTGTCTTCTTTCCTATTTAGATCTCAGTTAAAATTTGTTTGACAAAAAGACACATTATCACCAGTGACAACTGCATTACCAAAAGGAGGGTAAGAAAACATTTTCACTGGCAATAAAATAAAAACAAATGCTTTCCTCCATCCTCTTTGAAAACTCTTCCTCCTTCATGATTTGGAATCTGTCACTCTGTTAGCTGTTTAACCCTTTGGGAGGTTGAGAGTGGGGAAGAGCCAGGAAAAAGTGGCATCATAAGATCAAGGGTTTATTCTTTGAATACAAATGTTGACTATGTGCTTCTGTTTGACCACAGAGTAGATGAAATCCAAAATTAACAAAACTTCTTTCCTACCCATTAATATCGGTGTATGGACATTTTTAGATTTTCATGATTTGAATTTATTTGTTTCATACTCAGTTATATCCAAACATAAGAAAGTAAAAACATGGGGCTGGAGTTATAGCTTAATGGTAGAGTCCTTGCCTAGCACATATGAGGCACTGGGTTTGATCCTCAGCACCACATAAAAATAAATAAATAAAGGTATTATGTCCATTTACAACTAAAAATATCTTTTTATAAAAAAGTAAAAACAGTAATGGAGAATTATACAATAGGAAACTGTGACGGGTTGTATCTGAAAATCCCCTCCTTCACATACATTCCTTTCCAGGAAGGAGAATATATGTCTTTGCTCTAGCAAACAAAAAAGGAAGAGAAATTTAAGAATTTCTGTAAGATGAGAATGGGAATTAGCTAACATGGCACAGGGATTTGGAGTAGTCCTCCTCTTCTGCTTCTCCAAATGCCTTAGTGGCTACCTCTGCCATGACCCCCCTAGCTCTTCAACCCTGGAGAGTCTTGGTGCAGAGCTGAACAGCAGTACTTAGCTCCAGTACTATCCTGATAGAAGCAACAAAGCCCTATGGACTTTTGCTAAGTGAAGGTAGACTCCTTTAAATCAGGAGTCAGTTACTATGGACTATTCAGCAAAATAGAGGCCATTTCCTATTTTTGCAAAGAACATTCACTGGGAAACAGCCAGGCCTATTTGTTTATGTGTCTTATTTCAGGATCTTTTCATGCTACAGAGGCAGAGCTGAATAGTTTTTTGAGTGCTCGTGACATCCCATATGTCCCCAATTATTTACTACCTATTTACTAGGTAGTATTATACTGGTCCTTTAGAGAGAAAAAAAAATTGCTACCTTAAAGCTCTAATAAAAATAAATAAAAGAGAAAAAGAATGTTTGCTGATCCCTCATTTAAGTCTTTTTCAATGTACAATTAGGCTACTTTTGAAGACTAAAGCTAGAGAATAAAGGACACAGGAAATTGTGGTCACTGGAATTCAAGACCTTAACTATGTAATGTTTGGAAACAGAAGTAGATTACATACATTCCTGTGATTATCTGGTATTCATTTCGACAGTGTCAAGAGGAATAACTAATATTTGCTAAGGATCTACATATTCTGGGCATTCTGCTGAAAATTTTCCATAAAACAGGTGTTTGAATTACTTGTCAAGGGAATTGAGTCTTTCCCAAATTGAGATGGGGTTTTAGGGGAAACAAGCAAACTAACAGTTCACACCATGTGCTCAAGTTTTATGACCTTAGACATTGGAAGGGGGAGTGGGTTCCAACACAGCCACCTGATGTTCATTAGTGCCCAGACACAAAGGCTATTGAACTTAATCTTCTAGTTTGAAATATACTTTCCCTACTCAAGGTCCTTGCTCAAAGTCAGAGATGGATGACTTTAGATGCACATGCTGCAGGTCTTTTCTTTAAATATTTTTGAGTTTTAGGTGGATACAATATCTTTATTTTATTTTTATGTGGTGCTGAAGATCAAACCCAGTGCCTCACACTGTTAGGCAAGCACTGTACCACTTGAGCCACAACCCCAGCCCCTTGCTGCAGGTCTTATATATGCTGTAAATGCAGAACATGATGGGACAAAACAGGAACATGCACATGCTCATTCTGTAAATTAATGATAGCATCTGTAAATTAATGAACCCACAGATATTCTGTTGCAATTATTTTTTCTAAGTGGTAACTTAAAAACCATAAACTTTAATAGTCAGATTGGATTAGAGACTTGAAATACTACCACTTCTATAAATTGCATTTCTAGAAAGACAAACATAGGAACAGTAAGTGACATATTCAGGAAGACTGGGATTGGTGGTAGAACCAGGCCTCCTGGGCAGATAATTCTGCCCCATGTGCATGTGCTCTCTTTCTTGGCTCTCTTGAACTAAATTATGTTATTTGGATTAGTTCTTCATTCTGTGTCCATGTCGATCAGAAAGTGAAACTTGACATTGCCCAGTGTTTTTAGGTTATAAATGAGACATCTCTTCCTTAGTCAAAGCTTCTGGGAAATAGTCAGCCTCATGTTTTTTTCTTATACATTCATAACTTTTTGTACTCATTCATTTTTAATAAATGCCTTTTCAAGAATGTGCCTCTTTTTTTCCGGCTTGCCTGTCTGTAAATTCAGTTTTCTCCAGCAGCAGTGCCTCCTACTATTTTCTAGTGAGGCCCTTCATGTTTGGATTTTGAATCCCTCCTGAGTCAGGGGGTAGCACTCTATCCTTTCTTGGCAGACATCTACCCTCCCTTTCAGAAAAGAGTCAGGTAGGCTGTCTGCGAAAACACGGGACAAAGGGACAAAGAAAAAGAAGAAGAAATAACTGAGCCAGCCAAACTGTAAGAAAAGAAGGCTTTTTCTCAAAAGGGGGGAAAAGTAAAAAGAAAGGGAAATGAAATGATTCTGGCAAATCTGGTTGTCTTTTCTATTCATTTGGAGGTCTGCAGAAGTGGGTTGTAGAGATTTCATGTGTTGAGGCTTTCTCCCTATGAGCCATCCCTCAAGCTGAGCCAAAATCTGCCTGTCCATCAGGGCTGCTCCGGATGGCATTGCCCCTGCCTTTTCTCATCTAAAGTAATAGAGCCCATTATGAATCTCTCTATCCTTCCATCAACTCACCTGTGATGTTAATGTAGCAATGAACAGTGTCAGTGTTAGCAATGGACTGTTTCATGGTGTGTAGATAACCTCTGGTGTGTATTTTTTTGTTTGTTTGTTTTTAGTTGTAGTTGGACACAATACCTTTATTTTATTTACTTATTTTTATGTGGTGCTGAGGATCAAACCCAGTGCCTTGCACATGCTAGGTGAGTGCTCTACCGCTGAGCCATAACCCCAGCCCCCTCTGGCATGTTTAATGCCCTCTGCCTTCAGACTTAAGAGTTCTTCTCGGATAACTTCTAAGTTTTTGTTGTTGTTGTTGTTGTTGTTGTTTTTGTTTGGTTTTGTCTTGAGACACCCATTTTTGTAGGCTGAGCATGTCCCTATTTGGGGTTAGCTGATACTTAAGGTTACATGATGGTGGGGAGGAGGTGTAAGAAATCTGCTACTTGGTAAGGTATCCCCAGTTTCAGCTCTGTCCTGACCACTGACAGGCATCCAGATGACAGAGTCTGGAGCACTACTTCAGTGACCCAGTTAGCAAGCCTGGATGGGATCAGAACCAAGGCAGGACTTTCCCACAGTGTCCTCAAAGGCAGAGTGGGGTGGTAGGAAATGCTGTGCACAGTGTCACCTTAGAGGGACCACATACGAAATAAGGCCTGAAAAGTCTATAAAGATATCATGGTTACCTCCACCAGTTCTGTCTTTTTAAAGTTCTCTTAAGAAAATCATCGTTCAGAAGCTGCCACCATACCTGTTGATGCTGTTTTTCTGCGCTAGCATCTGCCAGTCCTTGCCTTTGGCATTTGGGGTATCAAATGTAGCACAAATCCGCTGTCTGATAGAGTAGGGGATTTTAAAGGCTTTGGGGCCAGTCTGTGCAGGGAAACTGCTGTCCTCTTGTGCAAAGAAAGTGATGGTTTCTCTTTCACTCTAGAAACAATAGAAGGGAAGCATGATCAGTCAAAGGAAAGCATTACTGACAACGTATTTATTTCTGAAAATCTGTGTTAATACACATGCCCAAATGCTTGCCTGTTGTGAGGGACTCTGTAAAACACAGTGGCAAGTTGCGTTCTCTTCTAAAACAGTAAAGAATTTCTCTAGTGGCCTAGACCATTCCACTCAGGAGAGTCACAATCGCCTCCAACATCCAAAGAGATGTCAGGTGACAACAGAATTAGACCTTTTTTCTTTTTCTTTATTTTTTTTAAGACTTTCAGGAGTAGATCTAGAATTAGCAGGAAGCACCTTCTATATGACGGATTTGGGTTCAGTTTAAGGAATGATCCTCTGATGGTCATCATGACCAAAGATGAATGGGCTGACCAAAGAAGCTGGCTGGGAAGCTTCTGGACAAGAAATCTACGAGAAACTGATTTTGTGTTAATCATGTAAAAAGTCTGTCTTTTCCTCAGTCCTAAAGCTGTGTGATTTTCTGATGAATATTTTGCTCTCATTTCTGAATAAAATCCCTTTGCTGATGTGGAGCTACATGACATCTAGACTAGCTCTGTGCAGTGATACAGGCATGGGCGGCTTCAGACTGATATCTGCCCACCCTGCTTCTAATTTAGAGCTGTCCAGTGAGGGACTTGTGGTTTCACTGCATCACAGAATTCGGTCATAATATCCTAAAAGATCACAGTGGAAAACTTTCAGACTGCTATATTTGCTGATAAGTTTAGAATTCTAACAGAATTTTAAGGACCAGAAAATATCTGATTGACTCACTTCCATATTATTACGTATCATAAAGCAAAGTGGATTCCGCTGAAGTAATTAAAATCTCTAATTAATTGACTTTGAACTAATTAAGAGATTCTCCTGGGTGGGCCTGATCTAATCAGGTGGACTTCAAAGGAGGAAGAGCTAGTTCTGGTCGGGAGGCTTCTCTTTGCAGGAAGAAAGCAAAGAGCCATGCTGTGAACTGCCTATAGGGGGAGATGTTTGGCTTGGAGAAGTGGGTGAGCCATAGTCAACAGTCAAACAGAAAAATGGAGACTTGAATCCTATGGGTACAAGAGATTGAATAGCATCAAAATGTGAATAAGCTTGAACTGTGAGCTCCAGAGGAGAACTGACTCTAGTCCACACCTTGATTTCATCCTGTAAGGTCTTGATCAGAGAACCCCGGTATGGGGTTCTGCCTGGACTTCTGACTCACTGAGATATTAAATGAGTATTGATTTATTCTGTTACATTTGGGGTATTTTTTAATGCAGCAAAAGAAAAAACTTATATAAGAGAAAATTAAAGCATTAGATTTGAGATAGGGTTCAGGGGGCAGTTAGGATGGTCTAAACCCCAAGAAACTGCCCTTTTTGTTAGGAATTCATCTGTTCTGTTCTCCTTCGAGTCAGCTCACACCATTCCTGAACTGACCTCACGTCCTTCCCTGGTCTTTCTGTGGCTTCCAATCTTACATGTCTTCCTCCTGTGGGTACCACAATACATGGCCTTTCTCAGCTAGTGCCCAGACTCACACAACTAAACCGCCACACATGGCCAGTCTCCTTAAAGTTTCTGTTAATTGAGGAAACTGGCTGATGCAGAGATTTTATTAATGACTCATGATGATTTCTATTTTTCTGTAACTATTGAACAGAGTGATCAAGAAACACAGTGTCTTAACACAGCATTTCCAAAAAGCTAACACAGTGTTTCAAAAAGAGCAGCAGCTTTCTAGGCAAATGCATTTGGAAAGTGCTGCACATTATGCCCTCCTCTGAAAACTCAAAGCACCTCTCATATTAAATGGATTCTACTTACTAGTTTTAATTCTATTTCTCAGTATATTATAGAATGATGCACATAAGAACAATCTTCCAAAGGCAAAAAGAAAAAAAAAAGAATAGCATTACCTTAGATTAGGTAGAAGGAAGTGAAAGGAGGGGAAGGCAGGGGATGTTGGGATAAGAAAGATAGTAAAATAAAATGACATTATTTCTTTACGTATATATGTGACTGTCTGAGCAATATGATTCTACAATATGTATACTCAGAAAAATGAGAAATTATATCCCATCTATGCATGATATATCAAAGTATGTAAGTGCATTCTACTGTCATGTATAATTAACTAAAACAAATAAAAACTTAATTAAAAAAACCTTCCAGTGTTTGCAATTAGCAAGATGTGATAGCAAAAGAATCTTTTTAACCATCAGAAAGATCTCACTTAGGAGTAAGACTCTGCATTTCCTAGCTTGTAATTTGAATGCTATATGGCCTCTCTTAGCCTCATTTTCCTAATCAGTCTTTTTGCAATTTGAATAGACTCCTCAGAGATCATGAAACCTGGTAAAAACTTGGAAAAAACCACCCAGGTAGTTTGTGACATAGCTGAAACTGGGATTTTGATATCCTACTAACTACGCCAGTACCAGTACTCCTTTCACAGCTTCAAGACATGTATGGAATGCATAGAGCAGGATGGTTAAGACAAGGACTATGAATGACATTATCATTTTGTTTTAGGAATTTATAGTGGGAAAGGCTTCCTGGAGAAAGCATTTGAGTTGGCCTTGAAGGATTCCTAGGCATTGGTTGAATAGAAACTTGGTGGATAGGTACTTATTCCAGGCAGAGTGGACAATTCTGTTCTGATATATTGGATGGTTATAAAATAAGCCAACTCAGCTTCTCCTTGCATAAAATAGGTTACAAGATACTTCATTTTTTATCATGGTTTGTAAAATTTCTTTCAGCCTCTAAGAATGCAAATCAAATTGGAA